GCCTGAAATGGAACAGTTGACCCCAGAGGCTTCTGCAATGCCTTCAGGGCCCTTTTCTCCTTCTCCTGATAATCCCTTTCCTTCGTACTAATCTTCTTAGCTAAGGGTCGCTGGTCTCCACCATTGCATGCTCTCTGCTTCTCTACCACATGGCCACACTGCAAATTTTCTAAATCTTTACACTCTGCTTCTCTTTTAAATTCTGGCTTTATGTCATGCCTTTGCTGCCATAACTCAGAGCAGGCTGTTGCAAGTAGCCATGCAGCTTTCTTAATTCTTTGCTGCTTACAAATTTCTTCTGCTAAATACTCTGGTTCACAACTCCTAAGTTCCAACTTCCACAAAGTCCTAGGGCATGGACACAATGCAGCCAAATTTCTTTCCAGTACATAGCAAGAGTGATTCTTTCTCCAGTTTACAAAGAATTCTTTCTTATTTCTATCAGAGACATTCTTAAAATGGTCTTAACAGTACATATTTCCATAAGCACTCTGTTCACCACCATTTAACCAGTCTCTAAAACATTCCAAACTTTCCCTTGTTTTCTTGTCTTCTTATGAGTCCTCCAAACTCCTCCAACCTCTCCTCAAAACCCAGTTCCAAAGCTGTTTCCACATTTTCAAGTATCTGTTATAAGCAATACCCCACTTCTCTGGTACCAATTTTCTGTATTAGTCTGTTTTTGTTGAATAAAACAAAATACATGGAACTGGGTGACTTATAAAGAAGAATGAAATTTATTGCTTATCGTTTTAGAGGCTAGGAAGCCCAAAGTCAAGGGAACACACCTGGTGAGGATCCCAGGGGTCTCACACTGCAAGATGGTGGAAGCAGAGAGAGAAGAGACAGACTCTCCTCTTCTTTTAAGGCCCTCAGAACCATGCCCCTGACCACCATTTTAAATCCATTCACCACTGCATGGTCCTACAATCTAATTAATTCTTCAAGGCTCCACCTTTCAACTACCATAATAGGATTTCCCACCCTCTTAACAGTCACAATGGGGGCTAAGTTTCTAATACATAAAACTTGGGGGACACAATTGCAGTTTCAGGGAGATTTGGGAGGACAATATTCAATCAACTACAACACTCAACCCCAAGACACTGCTTTTACCTCTGGAAGTGCATAGGTGCCAAATCCCAGTACAGGAATGAAGTGATCATCATTCATTTTCACATACTGACATTTGGGATCCATTGCTGTAACTCCTCTGGCTAAGCAGAACTTATTTCTTTCTTCTGCCCTCACGGGTTGTAAGACCAAATGATAGGCAACACCACAGTTACCTGTCCAAAGGTTGAGCAATGTCATGTAGGAGGAGCAAGTTTAAAGCAGTATTCCACAGAATTAGAGGAGAATTGGATTCAGTTTACATTTCTTGTAAAAGAATATTCTTAAGTAAATTATTATATATTCTTAATGAACTCTTTAACTTTTCTAGAAGTATACGTTCTTTTCAGAATGCACATATATTAGGGCAAATGCTATGAAATATTTAGTGAACAATTATTGACTATATGTTACAATAGATAAAATTCTAGCTATGAATCTTTTTTGTTGTTTTTGAAATTATGGACGCAACTCTTGATCATGCATCATTTGAACAGTTACTTATTTTACATCTTTTACACATACACACATGCAATTTGGAAAAATGACTGATGAGTATTTTTTATAAAAATGAGTGTCAGTGAAGAAGCTTAAGTTAAAATTGAAAATAAATTTTAGTTTTTACTTTTCTTATAAGCACAGTTATTTTGTTTCTTCTTTGTATGCACTGCAATATCAATATTTAACACTTGCAAGACCTCAAGTCTTTATCATTAAGCATAGTGTTTATTGAGTGTTAATGATTAACAGTTATTGGACATACATTTGCAATATTCGTATAGTGTTTACATTTTCCACCCAGTTCTATAATTTTATAAATTACCATAAAGGACCTATTCAAAAAAGGACAAGTATTTTACATAATTTATAATTTTCAACATTATTTGTTTTAAAAAAGCCTAGCAATCTTGAGCAAAAAAATGTAATGCCAGAGCACTCCAAACTATATTATAAATCTATAGTAACTAAATGGTACTGGCATAAAAACAGACACATGGACCAATGAAACAGAATAGAGAGCCCAGAAATCAACCCATGTGTTTACAGTCAACTGATCTTTGTCAAAGGCATACAAGGGGGAAAGGAGAGCCTAGAACATACAATGTGGAAAGGAAACCTCTTCAATAGATGGTGCTGGGAAAACTGTATATGCATATGTAAAAGAATTAAACTTGATCTGTACCTCTCGTCATATACAAAAATCAACTCAAAATGGATTAAAGACTTAAATATAAGATGTGAAACACTAAAACTCCTAAAAGAAAACATGAGAAAAACACTCCAGGATGTAAGACTGGGCAAAGACGTTATGAATAAGACCTCAAAAGCACAGACAACAAAAGAAAAATAAACAAACTGGAACATATCAAACTAAAAAGCTTTTGCACAGCAAAGGAAACAATCATCAGAGTGAAGAGACAACCTACAGAATGTGAGAAAATATTTGAAATGACTTTAATTACAAGGAATTTGGCAATAGATCAGTAAATATTATACATTAGCAAAATGAAATTTTATGAATTAATTGAAAATTTAGCATACAGAATGATGTCAGCAAAATGTGTGACCAGGAAACTCCAAGTTCTCCCATAGAAACATTAAAATCCAACCTGACTCTTGCTGTGCAACCTCAGAAGAGCTTTGGTAAACAGTCCAAGGTCTATAGCAACAAAGGGACACTACCTTGAAATTACACTGTGTTTTCTTAACACTTGCCAATGCCTGTCTAGCACCGGTGGTCTTGGTGTGTAGGTAGCATCAGCCCAGTCACCAATTTCCTCCCTCAAAGGAGAGCAACCAGAGAAGATCTGATTTGCAGCATTCTAACCTCCCTAGGACTTCTGAAGGATTTTTGTCTATTTTGCATAATTTTGACTTCAAATTGAAAAGCAGCTGGGATGCCTCTTTAAAAAGGTAGGTAAACTGTAAACAGTTATCATGAGGAAAAGATTTTTTTTTTCGTTAAATTTTTATTTTGTCAATATACAATGTATATGATTATTATGGCC